AGATTCAATCCAATCTCAGTCAAAATTCCCATGACATTATTTACAGAATTAGGAAAAAAAAATCTGAAATTCATAGGGAATCACAAAACACCCCAGATAGCCAAAGCAATTCTGAGCACAAATAGCAAAGCTGGGGGATTCCCACACCAGATTTCTCAAACTATATTACAAAGTTATAGACATAGAAACAACATGATACTGACACAAAAACAGACACATAGATCAATAGAACATAACTGAAGACCTAATAATATGAATTCATGCAATGTCAGCCACCTGATATTTGACAAAGGTGCCAAGAACACAAAGTGTAGGAAAGACAGCATCTTCAACTAATGGAACTGACAAAACTTGATCTCTAGCTGTAAAAGAATGAAACTAGACCCTTGATTTTCACCCTCCACGAAAGTCAACTCCATTCTATGCTGGAGTTTTATCTTATTTGAGTCAGGATGGGTCTTGTGCATGGTATGAGGGTTGCTGCAAGTTCACATGAACATGTTTCCAGTGACCCAAAAGTCTGTTTCTTTATGTTCATGCACCAACCCTGGCTCTTATCCTAGCCCCAACCCTAACCAAGGGACTACTGACAAATGGTTACTGTAGGATGAGGGAGAATAGATCTTCTTTGGGGGAATGACTGTAGATGGGCTGACTAGACTCCAGGGACTGAACTTGCAGTGAGGGAAACCTGGATAGAAATGTTTGACCAGGACTTAACATATGTGACAGAATATCTGAAATGGGGGGAAGCTTTGGGGAGCAGGTAGGGGAGAGGGGAAGAAGAGGTCTAAATTTGATTAAGATTGTGTTATGTGCACAAAACTCAATAAAATGTTAAAAATGAATAAAAAATCAACTCCGTATGGATCACAGGCCTTAATGTACAACCTGAAATGCTGAAACTGTTAGAGAAGTTTATGGGTTTTTCCCAGGTTTAGGCTACTATTCTCCTATGATTTATATTTACCACACAATATTATCTCTCTCCCCAAAAATACACACTTAAACCCAGATTTCTGAAAATTTATCTATGTAAATTCAATTTCAAAAGACTATCCCCCATTAAATTAAGGAAAATTATTCAACTAAAGCAAATTTGAAGGGAAATAAAAGATATGAGAGTGAAAGCAAGAATGAGAGAGAGAGAGAGAGAGAGAGGATGGGAATGGTGAGTATGGAAGAAAACAGAGAGGGGAGAAGAGAGCGTGGAGAGAGCAGGGAAAAAGGACAGAGGGAGAGAAAAAGATAGAGTGGAGAGATAACGACATAAAAACCAACGTTTCCTTCATTTTCCTCATCTAATTTTGAGCGAAGTGAAGTTGTAAGTACAGCTCAATTTGTAGAGCCGTCGCCTAGAATACATAAGAACCAGGGTTCGTGCCTTAACAAACCAGGAAAATGAAGATCAAAAGAAAGAGATGGCCGACCAACTCAAATTTCTGATCATTTCAGCCTCCCTCTTCCACACATGAAAACATATGCAACTCTCCTCTCCCTTGGGGAAAACCAGAAAAGCATCAAAATTAATGTCAGTTTGAGTTCTCTTCTTCTCAAGTTTAAGAATAAATTCGGTGCCTTTCTTACTGCTTAGGGAAAGAAGTAGTAAAGTAACCCAAGATCTTTCAATGTGTGCATTACCCTCAGCAGTTAAGCACTCACTTTCCCTTTCAAAGACCTAAGCATGTTAGCATTTCAATTTAAATGTTAATTTGTGAATTTTTCCATATACATATACATTTTTTTCATTTTTTTGAATTTTTGAGAATTTTATTT